GTGCGTTCGTGTGTTGAGGTTTTAGTTCTTAAAAGACAAAAACTGTTAAGAATTAAAATTTTTTGGTGATTTCAAAATATTGGAAATTAAAAAAAAAAAGCAAAAGAAATATTTCTCATAAAAAAAATTTTTATTTATTTTATTGTAAATTTATTTCGTCTTTTATGTAAATTATAAGCTGTTTAATGACATAACATAATGAATATTTTTTTTTAGCCTGTACAAACTGTCTAAGTATATGTTAAAAAATTTTAATACTCTTTAATCTTAGCGTTCTTCATTCTGTTGCGCGAATTGAATAGTATTGCATTTAATCTATTTTTATACTTAAATGTTTCAATTGTTACGTCCCAAGAGTAATTTAAACCGTTTATCCAATAACAACTTAAGTTGTTATTGGATAAACGGTTAAAATTCCTCTTCCGAATATAAATATCGTGATTATGGATGTCTTTTTTGTTGTAGTCAATTATCAATCATCAACGGACTCGAGCACTCTACTCTACTAGTTCTCAACAACTCTTTTTTATGTTTAAAATATCTCGTATCTTAACAATATATTAAAAATTAACTAAACTTGTTATACAAGTCTATTCTTATATAAAACTACAAATTTCTTCCTGTGGCATTATGACCATTTGACAAATTTTTAAGTCTATTATTACTTTTACACGAATTTATAAGGAGAGTTAGTGTTACAGTCGTCAAGCGACCACGTTTTATCGTTATTTTATACTACTCATTTTTTTATCATTTGTTTATAACAATATTTTTTTTTTTCGATAACCTTAACAAGTGTTTAAACTCTGTTAATTAACAAAGCTGTAAATAATTAGACGTACCATATTTCTTGTAAATTTTTTAAAGTTTTGGTTTTAGGGTTCTATTTTTCTTATAAATCGACGAAATTTTAGGGTAGAGAGCGTCTAGTTGTGCAGTTTTTATTAAATTAAGGGGCAACTACCCTCAAATTTCAAAACAACACATATGAAGTAACTTTTTCTTTAGTCATATAGTAAATATTATACTGACATTAAAAATACCAAAAAATACATAAAATGGTAGCTTGTTGCTATGGCAACTCAAAAAAATAGCTAAAAAACCAACAAAAACTGTGTTTATGCCGTAAAAAAAATAAGAATTATGAGTAAAGGAGTGTCAATGAAATTTTGTAGAACTGTTCTAAGTATGTAAATTTGTGATATGAGCGAAGCAGATTTTTAAATAAAAATTTTTTTTGGATAAAAAGCTACAGTCAAATTAGATTATTAAAAAAAAGGTCAAAATACAAAGAAAAAAACTAAAAAACTCAAAATCTTAAGTCATATGAGAAATTCTACTCCGCTCATATCATAAACATTGGTAAAATGAACGATCCCTGAAAATTTCATCATGATAGCATGTATACTTTTCAAGATTTTTTTCCCGGCGTGTTTAAAAATTAAATTCTCAGAAAACACAAAACAAAAAATAAAATCATAAATTATTGTTCATTTCATAAAAATATCTTTAAAAAAATAGCTTTTTAAAAGAATATTTCAAAAACTACCAGATTCATAATATTCCTTGGACTTTTCTATTGACTTTTGATGATCATTTGATAATCGTTGACGTTGTAACATCTTTCGTTTCATCTTAAAACTTTCTCTCGATTTAAATAATGATAGTTTTATTCGTTTTTTGTTTATGAGTCTGCAACCAGCTAAAGTAAAATGCCCTGGTTTCATATTTAGTTTTTCATAAATTAAAATGACAGACTTCATACCGATGTTATAATTTGCAACAGCATCGTACACTCCAAACTCTAAACTGGCTAAACCAACATAATTACTTTTTGGTAATCTATCCCATATTAAATTATTAAAACTCTCGTTGCAATTCTGGGTTTTGCCATGAAGACACTTTACTAATTCAGAATCTTTACTTAAATCAGCATATATTGGCTTGATTTTGTGAATAATATCCACAGGAATTCCAGGTCCAGGTTTGTATATGAAAGTAGACTTTGCTTTATCAATGTTAAACTTACACCAACTATCACCTCCAGTCGGGCAGTAAATATGATAGTTATTTTCCTTAGAAGAAGCTACATGGAAAAGGCTAGCTAATACTGCTTGTTTCATTTTATTCAGATCATTTGTATTGCTCCGGATAGCTACACCAAAAAAATTTTGCAAGCGATCAATAACTGCATTGGTTAGTCGACCACGACCACCTAGACCCTTAACATTTTTTTTTAATTTGCGTAAGCGAGTACCAACTCGTTTTGGTAATGTCCTACACACTCCAACTTTTTTACCTCTATATTTGGGTATATATCTTTGATAGAAAGATGGGATTTACTATCCCCATCGCCAAGAAATTGAGTATATCTTAACTTATGTTTTTCGATGGAGCGTTTAAAAACTCTCACTGCGCCAACTGATTCCATACCACCAGCTGTACCTTGATAATTGTATAGGCAAATATGTTTGTTTTTCCAATTAGCATATGCATCAGGATTTGATTTTTTTAATTGTTCTTTCATACAGCAAGCTTTACATGATTTATTCATAGGTTCAACATCAATTATTTTTCCACTATCTATTAAAATTGCGGTAAAAACTCCATTCATTGACTGATATCCTCTTTTCTGCCATGATCCATCGCATGATACACCAACATCAACAATGTCCTCACTAGTTGCATTTTTTTTCATTTCAGTTGCAGCATCTGACATTGTTTCGTTTGCAACACTTTTCACAATGTTTTTTATTTTAGTTGTAATTTTTGAATAGTTTTTGGGTGTCATGGGTTTTGGCATATCCATGAGCTGAGTAAACTTTTCAATGCCAGAATGACCATGGCATAAGACTCTGATTGCATATATTGTCCTGTTGTTAATATCAAACCCTTTATCACAAGCAACTGATGTATAAAATTCATGTTTATAGTCACAAGATAGTGTAGTACACTTTAAATATAACAACGTTGCTAGACCTTTCTTTTTTTTCTGATGATCACCTAAGTACAGTGCACACTTTTCACATTGAGGACACATTAACAATGAAAGAACTTTAGATAAAATTTCAGTGTCTATAATTCTGTAACCAGTAATTCTTTTAATGTTTTTACTTGGTACATTTGTAACAACTTTTACTTTTTTAGCTGATGCGCCCAAAATATTTCTTTCAATAGAGTCACATTCACTTACATTACATGCATTTTTATTTTTTTTCACCATAAATCCTCTTCTTTTTTTATAGTAATTTGTTCTCTGCTTTACTCTATCATTAATATTTTTGTTCAAAATAACACCCAAATCAGTAGGTTTTGTCATATTTTTTAATTTCTGCTGTTATATAAATTAGCTTTGATAACTTGATAAAATCGTATTAAAGTAGCAATTGTAAATGGCATATAATAAGGAACAGAATATTAATTAGCAAAGAAGATATAAATCAAAGCATATATTTGAAACAGTACTCGAGGATAAGTTCACAAACAAAATATTCGCCCCCATAGCAACGCGTTGCTATGCAAATATTTTTTACTTGAGTTCAAAAAAACATAAATTAAACAAAAATTTATAAAAAAATGTTTGATTTTTTTTGCAGATTCAAAATCTGCATAAAATTTTGGTCTAATATTATTAAAAAAAAAAAAATCAAATTTTTAAAAAAATGTGAGGGTAGTTGCCCCTTAAACAGATTTCATGAATGGGGCGTCAATTTTGCATAATTTTTAGCTATTGGAAAGATAATTGCTACAATTTGGTTAAGAAAAAAGTATATTTTTGATTTGTTTGAGAAGGTATTGCCTAAAGTTTACTGAGCTGCTTAACCTGCTCCATTGAGATAAGTTAAACAACTATGTGGGGAAAGTTGAGCAATCAACAAGTAAATAATACGCATGATATGTAACTTTGATAAACCATCAATAAAATTATCGTTAACACTAAGCGTGTCTATAATTTATAAGCTTTACATTTTATACACTTTAATGACATAAGTAAAATAAGAGAAAAAATTAAATAGTAAAAAAGTGGAAAAAAATTTTAAAATATTGTTTTATACAATTGTAGTGACCTTTGAAGATTTAAAAATTTCTTATCAAATTTTTTATTTGTGTATTTGTTTCAAATATGCTCAACTTACCCCTACTAGAAAAGGTTACACATTAGTTAAGCTTTAAAGATAACAATAAGAGTTAGGAAAAAACATCAAACTGAATCCGATAAATTGATAAAATCACTCAACTAAATCTGCTAAAAAGCAGATATATTTTTTTTATAATTTTTTCCACCGTCCAACAATCTTTTGTTGCGCATTGTTTTACGATTCAAATTCCCTAACTTTCACCAGACGTTTTGCCAATCTATGCCTAGTTTTTGAAATATTTAATTTGCCTAACTTGCTTTTATGCTCAACTAGCCCCACTCTACTCTATAACCAGTGCCGGATCAGGGGGGTGCTAGAGGGGCTATAGCCCAAGCCCCGCAAATTTAGGGGCCCCAAAAAAGTTTAGAGGACCTTTTTTTTTTTTTTTTAAAGTCATTTTTAGGCTCTGGCCCATAAAATGGCCTCAAAAAACAAAAATAGCCCCGGGCCCCAAGAAGTTTTAATCCTCCACTGTCTATAACTTGCCTTTATGCTAAACTAACATGAAATAATATTTTATTATTATTTTGCTTCGCTCTACTATATAACTTGCCTTTATGCTCAACTATCTCCGCTCTTTGGCTACTGGTTCAAAAATACTACAAGAACAAATTATTGAAATATCAATAGTTTTTAATAAATATTTTAAATTATTTACAGATTGTTTATTACCGGACGACTATGGCAAGTTAGCTAAAAATTTACGGACGACTATGGCAAGTTAGCTAAAAATTTGAATAAGTATTATATACGGAGTACTTCTATTATGAAATTTAAACTTCTATTATGAAAACTTTTTACAGGTGGGTGCGGTTTATCCCAAAAAAAATATATATATATATATATATATCAAAGACTCACCATCAGGGATCACACTCAGGTAGATAGAATCCTCATTTTTATAATAAACCCAATCGAATCCGGCTTCACGTGCTAAAACCATAAGATCGCTAAGCAATTTCTTGTCATTATTTGAAGCACGAATCAGAAATGCTCGACCTTAAAATACAACCGAATAAAACTAAAGTTTCCTTGAAAATAAAAGTTCTTAACAAAACAAATTTTTTTATTTTTTATAAATAAAAAGTCAAAACGCCAACAAAACGACAATTTTCATTAAGTGAATAAGTTTAATGGTAAGCTAACAAATAAATTAGCTAAAATATAACAATATAACGTTACGATATAACACAACACTTAACAATAAGTGTAAATCTAAATGTTATTTCTGTTATTTTTTTTTACCTTCATAGTGCAATGATAGTTTGTCTTCTTTTTCGACCACATCTGTCCATGCTTTAAGTACATTCACTTTCATATTTTTTCCAAATCGTGTTGTAACCAAACCTGCAAGCGTATCAATTTTTTGTTTTGCTCGCGATGTCATTAGACGAGAATCCTCAGTTTGAAAATCAATATTTGATTCCGAGTTCCTAACTAGAATCTTCCGAAAACGTGGTGAGTTTCTCTTAATGACATCACGTATCCCTCCACTAATTAAAATCTCGGTATTTTGTGCATCATTATTTCCTTTTTTAGGATAAAAATCTCCATAACGATATAATGTTGGCGGCAATTGACAATTGAATAATAGAAAATTTATAACTATTAGCAGCAGCGTAAACTCCATTACTAAATTCATAAAGAATTAGATTGAATTTGTATAAAAAAATTTACACACTAAAAACGCACAAACAATTTATTTAAACTTGGAATGTAGTAGTTAACAACAGTTGTGCGTTTAGAGTAAAACTTTTTTTTAAATTACCTAATGCAAAAGTCAAAAAACCAAGCAAAACGATGTACACAAAATTTGCAAATCCACAACATCAATATTGATCTAAGTTTCAGCGTGAAAGCTATCAAAACTAATAATGATTAGCGAGACTTTGTTTTTCAGTTATATGAGAAAATTTAATTTAATTTTTCCTTTCTTTCAAAGAATAAGAAGAAACCTACTTCATGTACAAACGTATCAGTTTAAATTGCATGGCTTGTTTTGAAAAACATGGTTGCTTAAAGTTCTTATCGCAGTTATTTACAAACTTATCTTGCACAAAATAGATGTTTTTACTTGACGCATGGTCCACATTATAAATAAAGCAAAAAATGTAAAACAAAACTTGGATTAAGTAAACAAATATAATGCTATTTAAGCTTTAGTAAAAACTCAAAAACTGAATTATTTAATGTCAGGGTTACACAAATGATATCAAATGATTGATGTACTGTTTGATGTAAATGTTTTTAATATAATTTAATACATATATATATATATATATATATATATATATATATATATATATATATATATATATATATATATATATATATATATATATATATATATATATATATATATATATATATATATATATAATATCAGCATAAGTTTTAAGCAAAAGTATAAGCAAATTACTGAATTTTCTCATCTTTTTACTTGGTAAGTAAACCATGCCTCTTTCGGATAATGACAAACGTGTTTGCTTCAACTTTAGTATCCTGATAGTACTTTTTAAGGTAAATGTATGCTTTTCCGTAAACTACAAAAAAATTTAACCTCTGCTTAGTTAATTAAAAATACATAGGTGCACAATGAAGAGTTATTTGCTTTAGAACACAACGGGACCTTTGTTAATTGCACAATATAATCATTCCTAAACAAAAATGGATAAAACGAGTTTAAACTTTCCTTTAGCATTCCGAAGATCTGTACCGTTGTCTTTCTTTCTGTTGTCCCGTTTTGTTCTAACTTTTCATGCAAATTTTTGTAAGAATTTAAAAAAAGTCTGTAATATCTTTTACAATGTTAATATAAGGAATGTCTCTGAATTTTCAAAAATAGCCTTCCCCTCCCCTTATTTTTCTAGCATGTAATACGACATTTTTCCTTTAAAGAATTTTTTGTTGCAATAATTGTTGTAATTGATAGAGTCACATCAATCACACCATCAGAAGCAATTTTAGATTATTATTATTGTTTGGTAATTTTGTCCAATTAAATGAAACAATAACTTTCTTTTGGGGTGAATTTGTTTCCGCTTTTTCAATTGTTTCAATCTTTTCAAACTTCTATATTTAACTCGGATTTTGTTTTGAACTTTATTTTAATATCTGACCAGATTTTATTGTTACTATCACTACTTCCACTCTTGTTATTTATTCTATTACGACTGTTACTTTTATTAATTCTGTTATTGATTACTATTATAGTAATAATACTTTTATTACTACGTTTTTCTTATTTATTCCAGCTGGTTTCTACTTTTCTTATTTTCTCTAGCTGGTTTCTACTTTTCTTATTTACTCCAGCTGGTTTCTACTTAAGATTAGTTAGGATATTTACAAATGATGCATATACTATTTGTAAATATCCACGAAGTGTGATAATTATTTCAGAAATTTATATTGATTAATTTATTAAATCCTAGAAAATGTTTGGAGATTACCCAGCATTCTATAGCGGAATTTCAGTGGAACTATATTGATATTTTGAGCGTTCCATTGCAGGAACGCTCAAAATATCAATATAGTTAACTAGCGGATCAAAACATCATCAGTTAACTAGCGGATCATTAGTAACAGCCACCAAAAGTGACTAGCCGATGAATAGCCACTATAACATGCTTGAAAGTTAACAGTAGGCTATTTTCAGCGGCTGCAACTAATGGTTCACTAAGTATACGATGAACAAGAATTTACAATACTAATTTTAGCTTAGGATCTAACCCACCAAACACACTACAATGGGCCAGTTGAAACAATGTCAAGCCAACGTTTCCGACATTTTTCTGACGTCAGGCCAACATGTCCTTGTTATCATTGTTATCTTTATTATTAAGGAAAACTATACATCGGCATTAAACTACTTTTAAATTATGGCATGCGAAAATTAACAAAATTAATTTTTAACTTGGCAACCTTACTTTATTGTCATGCTTTAGCATTTGCGCAAAACTTTTCAGCTGACTCCAACTAATTAAACACCCATTTTCATCAACGCCCACTTTTCAAACTACTTTTTAAACAACGATAATGATTTTTATAAATTTAGGAGATTAAATCAAAAGTCTAATTTAAACTCAAATTAAATGATAGTTTTCTATTGAGAATATGAAGTATAATAAATAGTATAAAGTAATATTATATAAATATATAATATAAGAGAAACATAGAAAACAAGTATAAAACGTGTTAAATATGGATTAAAATTGTGTAATTTCGTCGTTTTTTTTTAATTTTTTTAAATTTGCTGCGTCATTTGCTGGATCATATTTCACAAATAACCTTTCACTTATTGAATTTTTTATAATTTAAAATAAATTATAAAGAATTCAATAAGTAAATAGTTAGGAATTCTGGAGAATTAAATCTATTTTGAATAATTTATTTTTAAACAAATTTTGTTTTTGTTCTGATTTTTAGTTTTCATTGCTTAATAAAATAATTTTTGAAAAAATTTGACTAATAAAAAATTAAATAAATATAGATTAAAATTTATTATTTAAAACTTTTTCTAAACTATATATATATTTTTTAAATATTTAAAATCGAAAGTTACAAAAATACTTTTTTTAAAACATGTATGATTATAAAAGTGTTATGTTAAAACATTTTTTTAAATATAATTTCAAAAATTAATTTATGTTTTTTCATAAATATCATTTAAACATATATGATTTGTGTCTATGTTTTGATAACATATAAAGGGTTATAATCTGCAGTTTACGTGTCAACTTATAATAAAATTCAGCCAACAGGCGCCACCAAATCGTTTGCTAAAGTTCTATTAATGTCAACGTTTATGAAGATGTAAACTATTTTCTGTAATCTTATGCGTATTACATAGTTATTACATAGTTTAAAGCATCTTATTTTCACAATATTTAATGAGTAATACAATAATTCTAAAAATGATAAGAACGAGAATAACTAGTTTAGATAACAAGTTTTTAAACTTTTTATTAATGACCTCTCATTATAACCTATGAAATAAAAATTATAATATAATTTTTATTTCGTAGAATATAATTTCTGAATATAATTTCTGTACCATGAATATAAAGTGCCAGCATAAGTTTTGAGTTGATTTTGAAGTTTTGATTTTTGAGTTGTAATTTCTGGTCATAAAGTATTAAACTATATAAGTCGACTTTTTACAATAAACTTTCACAAATTGTTCACACAATTTCACACAATAAAGTGTAAAAAACATAACATTTAAAAGACTAAATCAATTATTAATATGCAAAAGTTGACTACGGAAAAAATTATTACCTTGAAAATTAAGATCTTAAAATCGAGTAAAAAAAAACACCTTATGGTATGGCATACAACTTTAAGTATATACAACTATATTATCAGTGCAGTGGCTAGTGGGTCTAGGGCCCCCTTCCCTCCCCCCCTCCCACTTCTCTCAACAACAACAAAAAACTAGCCATTAAGGTCGTAAAATCTTAATAAACTTCCACAAGGTATTATCAAAATAATAGAATAAAAAAAAAATTGAAAAAAAGGCCCCGAAATTAGGGGCTTGGTGATAAGGCTAGTTTATGCCTTCTTCTTGCTCCTATCAATTATTTTATTTTGTTATATTATTGAACATCGTAAATCTTATTTAAACGGCTAAATAAATAAATAATCTTATCAAAATCTTAAGTTTCCAAATGGATCCCTAAAATTGCTGGACTTTCCCAATTAGGGTATGGGGGTGAGCTAAATCACGGCTCTATATATTATTTTTGTTATATCATATAAGTCGTCTTTGTACGATCCAGAAACAGTTAATTTTATAAAGGTGATATTATTATACTCAATTTAAATCGAAAGTGCAAAACTATAAATTATGCATATGGCAAAACCAGTTATAAACCTGTTTTATTATAAGATGTTTATTATGTGACATTTTACTTGTGATTTTATGTTATATATAAAGCATTATTTATTAAGTTGTCTCAAATAAGATTAGTAAATACTAATGTAAACAATTATAAAACTACTTTTTAAATAATATTTGTATTTATTCAGGGGTCAAAAAAGATCCCAAACCTCAGCGTCCCTCCAACCGTTTCCTCTTCCGAGGAGGGCAAGCAACTGTTGTACATTTTATCGAAAAAAATATGACTAGTCGTAAGTTACTCTTCTTAGGCGGGCCTCTAAAATAGTCCAAAGGGCACTAAAGTCTAACACCTTTTTTGATCCAGTGTATAAAGCCATTGTTCAATTTTATAAGTAAATTTATAAATAATAAAAGTTAATCTTGTTTGTATAAATAAAATATAAGAAATAAAATTTATATATTATTATCAAAAATAAAATATAAGAAATACAAATATAAGAGGCATACAAACATTGTACAACATTATTTTTATGTAAAAAAAATAGTTTTATATTAAACAATTGTTTTATACTAAACAGACCTATGATTTATCGTTGCAATGATGTTTAATAAGTTTGGTTACATGGAATACATGTAACCAAATGCGGATTACATGTGCCAATACACATGTATTCCGCAAATTATCTTTGGCACACGTTTGGCACATAACCAAACTTCTTAATTGTGCATGTTTTCATTTTATTTGTTTTAAAATTTAAAACGGAAATATAAATAATGCTAATATGTGGTGTTAAATGGTATTTAATATTGAATCTCAATAATTTAATAGCATTTATATTTGTATTGATATAAAATCAACTAAAAACGATAAAGCAAAAGAATTAAGATTCAAAACACAAAACAAAAAATGGGAGGGATGGTGGAGGGCGCCAAATTTCTGTCTTGCACCGGGCGTCGTTTAGTCTTGCTACGGCACTGTATATTATATTATATTATATTATATATTGTATATATATATATATATATATATATATATATATATATATATATATATATATATATATATATATATATATATATATATATATATATATATATACGCAAGTGTATATATGAATAAAGAAAAGATCTTTATATTATCATATATATAATATCGTATACTT